CGAATTAGATTCGGAATGAATGCAACGCTCCTCAAGTTACCAAGCGAGACCGACATGAGCCAATTTACATAACCCAGAACAACAAATAGTTACAAATTGAAAACTTTTGTCTGCCAAGATTGTAAGCGATTGTCTGGTTTCCCCCTCCCCCTCCGGTTTTTCCTTCCCCCCTTAAACTTCCAGCAAGTTCCGATTCCATTGCCATTTGCCAGTGTCTCTCCACTGTTGCCATTGTTATAATCAAAGTAGTAGTAGCTGAATAACAAGAAAAACAGCAACTGCGCCTGACAGCCACCGAATGAAAGAGATACGTTCCTCGAGATACGAAAGAGCAATGTGTACGAGATTGGATGAGATGGCAGCCAGAACGAAAAAGTATCGACAAGTTTGACGCTTTATGGCATTGTTTAGTGCCGCACATTTCGCCAAAAAACGTTTTTCAACTTTCACACAATTGCGCCATTTGTGCCGCGTCTTCACGATGGCGGGGGTCATAGAAATAGCTATAGATTTTAGCCATGGCTATGCGATCCAAAAAAGGAGGAAGGGGGAAAAGGGGGGAGGATGAGGGGGGCGGAACCGTCGACACAAATCTGCTGACGGAAGCTCCGGTTGGCCCACAGTGCTTTTTATACGGAAAACGTGCAGAAAGTTTGAGTGCCAGCTTAGGAGCTGCCGGCAAAAAGTTATAAAACAGTAGATAATAAAATAATAAAATATATGTATTTGAATTGTAACCGACGCGTCCAAACATACACACACACACCACACACCCACACACACTCACCCACACACACACTTACTCACTTACACACATAAAGTTTTTCTTTCAGGCGATAAAATTACATGTCAAATTGAATGTAACCTGCTATTTGTGCGCATTATGGTGGCCATAATTAAACCCCCGATGGCTGGAGGGAAATCGCCGCACGATGGCTGGTCAATCATGGTTTTATGAGATGGCTTAAACTTTCTGCACCGAAACGGAATCGAAATTGGCATCGGGAAATGAGTTCCGCTCGGGGGAAATGGGTTCCGGCGCCTGGCGGATGACCTCAGTTTGAATTTCGATGAAGGCGATTAGTCGGAGGATGAGCAAAATATGTGTAAAATATACTTGTATAGTGCCACCATCGCAGTGGTTTGTTGCTGCTGCTATCAGTGAGTTATGGCTGCACGCGAAAATATTATTTAAATATTACTTTTCACCAGAAGCGCGCGCGCGCCAAATCCTATAAATCAAGCGAAAGACTTCGACTGAAAGAGATCTAGATAGAAAAGTTCGTGGCGCAAGTTTCGAGCGGGGAACAACAAGAGCGACGCTTGGTTCAAATAAATTCACAAGAATTGAGCAAACTTTCGGGGATTGCGATTTGTTTTCCTCGTGAAAATTGCGAAAAGGAAAATTGAAAATGAGAACCTGACTGAGGGGTAAAGTCACCTCGTTATTCCATCCTCTCTCTCCACAAACTCCTCCTTTCCAAATGTGAAATCCCTGTGTGCGTTGAGTGCTTGGCTAAGCCGAATCAATGCGACTTTTATGCTAATACAATCAATCGGTCTAATCGAATCAAACGTTTTGACAACCCAACGGCCTCAAATGGAGCGTTTTGGGGCTTGTCCCAGCTTTTGTGTCCTGTGTCTCCGGCCTCGAGTCTCGAGGAATAAACTATCGCCGGGGACAACAAGTACGCAATATGCATAAAACTTTATATGGCATTTAAATCGCTCCGTTCGCCACCCCTTTTATGCCATCTGCTACGGCTACGTAGGAAACTCCCCCAAAAAACGATCCCCCAACCTCACAGCTCACAGCTCACATCGCCCATCCCATTTCGGCTGCCTACTTCGCCTGTTAACTCAAGCGTCACAAATGCCGGAAATCGAATACAATTTGTAATTCTGATGAACAGTTGAGCAAAACTTAAGCATCGTCTGTCCCGCCTGATGTTGCTTTTGTTGCTTTTGTTGCTTCTGTTGTTATTGTTATTGTTGTTGTTACTGTTACTGTTGCTTTTGTTGTAGCTGTTGCTATTTTGTGTTGGCTTTGTTGCTTGCCACTCCTACTCTTACTCCCTCTCCCACTGGCCATTGTTGATTCTACTGGTGATTCTGATTCTTATTGTCCCGGCTTTCCTCTTCCTGCAACTACTTTTGGCATATTTAGCCCGGCTTTCACCTTGCTTTCGCCCGACTTTCTTTATCCTCCTGCACGTCCTGTTTGCTCCAGTTGTACCTACTTGTACTCACTCTTACTTGTATTCGTATTCGCATTCGTATTCCTTTTTGTATCTGTATTGGTAGCTGTAGCTCCTCTCGATTTGGCTGGGTTTCCATTTCGTTATCGAGTCGAGTCCTCGGCAATCGCCATGTAATGCCAAATTGGGCGACAACGTTTTATGTTTTGTTTTTGCCATCGCCCATGGATTTTCGGGGATGTGGGAATGTGTCTACAGGTTCACTCATCAGTTGGCGCTCTGTTAAATTTCGCACACGTAGCAGCATAAAAATTGACACCGATAATTCGAGTTCCAGTGAATGCGCCTGTGTGTGTGTGTTTGTGTTCCAAGCTGAATGTGTGTGTGTGTGTAGTCAGCGGTACGTATGCGCGATATAAACACGCACACGCCCCAAAAACATACATCATGTCGGAGAATTTGTCGGTCGCCAGCGGGGGAGAAAGGTGATGGGAAATGGAGGGGGGAATGGAGAGGAAAAGAGAGAGGGAGAGGGGGGCAGAGGGGGATGGGGGAACACAGGATGCGGGACGAAGAGGAAGCTTCAGTGGGGGCGATATGTCGCGTCGCTGTTTACACAAACAAAGTTATCAATTTTACACACGACAGTCGCTTCAGCTCCCTTCGCTTCCTCCATTTCCACAGTACATTTTTCCCCAGCGGAAGGGCTTCCCAAAGTGGTTGGGATAAGGAAAACGGGGGAAGAGAGGAAGGTGGTGGGGGTGGGGGAGAAAGGTAAGAGCTGCGAGTGCCAGCACTTCCATCAATTCTGTATGCAATCAATGTCCAAATCGAAGACGCAAAGCGGCGAAGCCCCTCAGTCATAACAAAATACAGGCGAAATTCCATACTGTCAACCAGCAATCGGCGAAACACATTTTTTACTGCTCTTAAAGTCACATAAATAAAATCCCTGTATCTTATGTATGTCTTATAGATATAAGTTAACATTTAAAAGTTTTTATTTTTTCATTCGTTATATTTGTTTTTCTAGCTTTAATGTTCAATTTTGTATGTCCAAAAGAAGAAATATATTTTCAACATTTATTTCTTCCTGGAAAAATAAATAAAATCTGTATATTCTCTTTAATTGGCTTTACCCATACTTGTATCTTCTTTTAGTTCAAGTATCGAGCTAAAGTTATTTTTTAAGTATTTTCCCCTAATGCAAAATTTCTGGTTTCTCTCGCATTTTCAAAACCATTTGAGTACCACAACTACTTCTAACACATCTTTATACATAATTTAGTACTCACGGAGGCTATTTAGAAGTTTTACGATGGCAGACAGTCAGCCAGAAGTCAAAGTTATGGAAGTACGACTGTTCAAGGCGAAAAGTTTACACTGAAGGGGACTCTTCATTCCACTCAAAACGGTACACTGAAACTGATCCTTTCGAATGTCGCCGAAGGAATATTGATTTTAGCATATTAAAGCATACTTTTCGGGGCACTCAGCATTAGATCACACCACACTTCAAGCGCCTGACATTTTTGCAAGAAATTCCAGCGAATCCGCCCCAATATAGTAAACATTTTATTCATAATTCTGGAGTTCACCCCCTCGCTAAAAACAGAATTCACTTAGGACTAAGAGAGCTAGATGAGGGGCTACCTAAAAATAAAAGAAAAGGAAAAGAAGAAAATGTCGCCGCTTGTTAAATTTAAGGAATGTTTGGCTTGTTAGTGTAAAATAATATGAGCGACGTGGAAAGGACTCTCTGCTTACTTAGGCGCCCTTCTGGTCTGTTGTCTATTTGATTTGCCAGGACATGCCAAAAACGGGAGGGAAGGTGAAGAAGTCGGAGCGTCGCACATGACGAGCGAAGAATTCCACTCAAATTGCATTTATTGGAGAAATATTTATAATAACTTGGAAATTCAATTTCCAAAGAAAATATGCTAAACGGATTTCAGGGGCGGAGTGCAGCCAGCGAGGGGGCGCAAAAGGGGGTTTTGCCGAGGTGAGGATGTCAGACTGTCGATGCGAAAGTGTGTGTTGGTATTTCAGTGGCTTGTGTCGTGTCAATGGCTCGTAGCTCAATGTGTGTGTGTGTGTGTGCGTGGAGAGATATGTTAGAAAATTAAAATCGACCATATGTTGCCTCATCGATTTTGATAAGTCGCCTGGCAGCACACACAAACACACACACACACACATTGAACGGGAGCAGCAGAAAAAGCAACAGCACCATGGCCGCTTCATATCCGTTTCCGCTTTGACACAATGGGCGCACAATGCGTGGCAGTGCAATGGTGTGAGTGTGTGGGTGTGCATGGGTGTAATGCTAGTGTTTGTGTGTGTGTTCGGATGTGTCTGTTGCTGCCACTTTCAATTGCAAAAAGCTGGCTTAAAAAGGCGCCTTGTCATGCATGAGTTTTCTGCCCTTTATTATTGATGTTGTTTTGTATTTTTATTACTCCTGCTCTTGCCTTTGCCCCATGTTTTCCCCCCGTGTTGCACCCTGCCCCCGTTGTTGCGCCTTTTTGTGGGCGGTCTGTTGTCTGGCGCTGCGTGACACAAATCAAAGGAAGCCTGTTAAATATTTCATAACCACGCACCTCCAATGAACTTTAAGGACCTGCAGGAAAAGGAGCAAGAACATGTCCTAACCCACCGATGGCTTACCACTCAATTTTGCTCCAATAAATGTTGCTGCAACATGTTGCCGCTGCGCCGGCGCCTCGCGGCACGCTGCTCCCGGAGATTTGCATATTCTTCGGGCTTTCGATGGAGCAGCAACGTTCAGTTGTTTACCGCGCCTCAAGCCACACACACGCAACGAGCGCTGATAAGAAACAAAGGCGGAAGCGTGGCGAAACCTGCTACCCGTGAACTGTGACCCGTGACCCGTGACCCGTGACCGGTGAACTGCTACCCGTGACCCCGGTGAAGGGTGACTCGGGTGCCTGCTCGGCTGACACTTTCGTATCGTTCATCTCAATCTCAATCGGAAACAGAATTCGGAATCGGGGAATTGGAATTGCTATCGCGTCATTTGAGTGACTGTTTTCGAGTTGCGTGCCTATGATGACGGCCACTGTACCTTACGTCGCTTCGTAAGGGCAGTTACGTAAGCCTGCCGCCCCCTCCGCGGAAAAAGGACAGAAACGCAACGCGCTCGAATGCGTTACGTTGCGCATGAGATGGCGGCACGCAGTTCGCGCTACATTTACTCCGACCACGGCCACCGAATCTAGTCCGCTGTTAGGAAAAGGTAGCGAACAAGCGAGGGGGTTTTCACCATTTTTGGATAGACCAAACATCTCCGCCACCCACCCCCCCTTTGGGTTTCCCCTTTCATCCGCACGCCCCTGTCGAATATAATTAAGTGTATTATCGGAACGTGACCAAAGCGAAATTGCTGCCTGCGGGCGAGCCAACTACTCCTGCTTTTCGTCCTCTGTTGGCCAGAAGCAATTGAATGGACAGCTTAGTGTGTAATGAAGAAATTACCAAAAGCTCCTCCATCCCCCTTCTTTCCATCCTGGCTTTTCCTAACGATTCAGCTCCCCATATCTACACCCCCGTCCCCCTTTGATCCGCAAGGACATCTTCATCTTGCCGTTGTCCTGTGGGCGTCATGGTGATTGAAAACTCGACCGCATTGCGGTTCTGTCATCAGTTTAAATGAATGTGCTGCGGTTTCCGGAGCTCCGATAAGAAGGAGTCCTGACGTCCTGAGCCTAATCCCTTTTCAGTTATTGTTTCTGTACAATCGTGGGTCGGAGAATTGTGGGCGGGGCCGGCGGCGAGTGTCCTTCATCTTCGCCATCGCCTTCGCCTTCGCCTTCATCTTCATCTTTTGTCTGTTGCCATTCGAATTGAGGCTGGTCGAGTCGAGTTGAATTGAGTCGAGTCGAGTTCCGCGATTGCCATCATTTATTTTAATTACTTTTCTGTTGTCGCCCCTCTCTCTCTCACTCTTTCTTTCCTTTTTCTGCCGCTCCTGACGATGGCCCTTCGTCCTTCATCCTTCGTCCTGGCTGCAGTTATAAGTAATTCGAGAGCCCCACAAATTGCGCATGAAATGTTGGTGGAATACTTTATGGCGCTGCTCGTGATCATGGGATTAACCGCACCATTCGACAAGCAGAGCCGGCGCAGCAGCCAATACTTCGGTGAGTACGGATTTAAATCTAATCAGGGAACACTCAAAGGGTTGAGCCACCAGCGGAGTGGGCAATCGTATCAGAAATGGCATAATAAATGAGGATAGCAAAGCGCTGGGTACTGGATTTTGGAATTGGGGAGTGCCAAGCAAAGTCCAATTAGATTGAGGGATACAAAGGGGATTATAATGGGGCACTGATCTCGAAAGGAAAGAAAGGGACAATAAATATCTGCTTACAAATCATGAAAATCCTGTCCCAGAGATTATTTTTAGCTTTTCTATCTTACTAGTAATAATTATAAAAGTATAATTAGAAAGCATTTAAAACCGAAATGGCTTATCCTTTTAAAGGGAAAATAAACCAATGGCAGACATAATCAAAACAGTGAAGCCAAGAAAAGTATTTCACTCAACAAACGCAACTTTTAGTTTTAATTACTTTGTTGAACATAAACAAGTTTACATTGTAGAAATCTAATGAAAGCTGAAAACGAAAATTAGAGGACCCATTTTTACATGCTAGAAAAAGTAAAAACTAAACTAAAAGTTTCGAAAGAGTTGAACATTTCGTTTAAATTACTTTTTTTCTTTTTTTTTTAACTCTTTTGTATGACCTATATAACAAATTTCCTCAGGTGACAAAAAGAATTATACATTTATTGCAGTGCGGTTTAGTTATCTAAAACAATACAGTTCCACAGCGCTCAATCAATCAACGTATTTTCCGATTTCAATTAAAACTTTTAAATTAACAAAGCAAACTAACTTCCGTTTTCGTTTTTTTTTTTTGTGGGAAATATATGTTTCTATTTAAAAGTTTGGCACTCCGTTGATTAAATTAAACACCCCGAACTTTTAATGTTATTCCGGCGAGCAGTTAAATTTCAATTTGTATCCTGCCACCGAAAGCTCCCTAATGGATAACTGATCTCCGAAAGGGATCTGAATTTGGTAATCTGCACTCCCGACTGTCCGGAATTGTTTATGTTCCCATCTATTTCGCATCTCCCGACTGTGTGCGAGTTCGAGTTTGAAACACGGAGCAGCTGCAATTGCTCATTTGTAATTTATGGCACCTGAACTCAGTTTAGGAGTCCGCCTGGGGGACTGCAACAAGCAGGGGGCATTGAAGGGGGGGTGGAAAGTGGGCGAAGGGGGGAGGAGCAAGGGAAGGGGGAGGGGGAGGCGTTGGCCACTGGAGCTGCGGTTGCGGTTCGACCAGGCAATTTTCCAACTTACCACCCCGCACTTTGTATGTAAATACGCAACTTTTATTAAAAAATTTTATGTTGTTACATATTCTCTGATGCTGTGTGTCTGTGTGTGTGTGGAGCAATGTGTGCGTGGGTGTATGTGGGTAGCAGAGGGTGGGAGTTTTTTATTTTGTGGCCAGCATAAAAAGCAATTTCATCTGAAGTGTTTGGCCAGGCCAAAAGCGAAAGGCAAAGCATACAGCCAGCAGCAGTGGAGCAACAGTTTCAATTAAGTGTTTAACGTCATTTTATTGCTTGATATTTGATAGCTAAATTTGCCCAACCGCATTCGCACACACTCACACACACACACGCACACACACAGAGAGAGGCGAGCACAAAGTACCCCGGCCTATAAATCAATATGTGTTTATCCACTCTATATCCGCATTTATCCACATAACCAATCGGAGGACCGACCACCATTCCCAATCCCCGGCACATCTGTATTTGTGTTTGTATTTGTTTAGGCACTCATGGATTATTAGCGCATTAGTTGGCTAATACATCGCCGTTCGATGGCGATGGAGCAGCAACAGCGCCCCAAACTCAATCCAACCAGCCACGCCCACATAAATCACTCGACCGCCCAGCGATGGATCATAAGCGTGGCAATGGGGAATGGCGAATGGCAATGGAAATGGGCTTGAGCCGGGCATAAATTAAGCGCAAATACTCGTTAATCAAATGAATCCTGATTCCCCGCCAGCTGAGGCATGGCCATCCAGCAATCCGCACCAGCGGATTGAGCCGCCCAATCGACCATCCATCTCACCGTTCGTCTATCTGACTCCCCATTCGTCTGACTGTCTTTCTATCCGTCTGTCTGCATATCTATCTATCTATCTATTCGGCTGTCCGACTGTCCATCTATCTGACGCTTCCTGTGTCCATCTGTCTGTCTGCCCTTCGGTATATCTGTCTGTCTGTCGATTTATCTGTCGGTCCGTCTGTCTGTCTGTCTGGCCCTCAAGGCTCTGGGCCCGGAATGCACTCGAATACGTTTAGATTGACGTTCAGATAACTCTGTTTGAATGAAGCGACCCGGGTTAGTTTAATGGGCACGCCGGATGCATAGATTCCTGAAGTGGGAACCCTTTATATGCACACAAGATATCTGTATTAACGTAAAATGGCTTGGGGTTAAAGTTAAATATTTACAAGTGTTTGTGTTTAATAAGGGGAACTTCAATATTTGCTGGTAGAGTTAAGCCTTCAATCTTAGAACCTTTAGCATAGAAATCATTTATGAAATTAATTATTATACTTAGCATATGGAATAAATAAAGAAGGAAGAAAAAATATATAGAGGAACACAATTTTATAATATCTACAATATTATTTAAATTATTTACAATTTCCCGTACATTTTCCGGTATTTCCTTAGGTCATCTGGCAGCTGCCGATGAATTGTCCAACCTGATACCCGACAACTACGATGGCGTTGATCCCATCTTCGACAACTCCACGGACCGGGAGATCATCGCCGCTCTGGGCACCACAGCTCGTCTCCACTGTCGCGTTCGCCACCTGGGCGATCGGGCGGTGTCCTGGATCCGCCAGCGGGATCTCCACATCCTGACCATCGGCATCATGACCTACACGAACGATCAGCGCTTCCTGGCGCGGCACATCGACAACTCGGACGAGTGGGTGCTCAAGATCGTTTCCGTGCAGCCCAGGGATGCGGGAATTTACGAGTGCCAGGTGTCCACGGAGCCCAAGATCAGTCTGGCCTACAAACTGGTCGTCGTGAGTGAGTATCTTTTGGGGATACTAGCATACATTTGCAGAGAAGAATTATTAGAGGTCATTCCTAAAGTTTTCTATTAACTTACAAGAATCTGATACTAGGAATAAAACCTTCTATAAAAAGAACATAAGTTACCATCTTTGTACTTTTCTCCAAGCAAATATTCATTTCACTTCTGCTAAAATGGAGTTCTGTTTTATTTCGATGAAAGTTTCCATAAGAACTTAAATTATATTAAATAATTTTAATGCTACTTTAACAAAATGTTTCAGAAGATAATTTTTCAAAATTTAGATACCCTCATAATTCCTTTACAATATTAGGCCTTTGATTATTGCACTGTTTCAAAAACTCATTAATGAAATTATGTTTTTCCCGGAACAAAGTTGAAGTTTATTAAGATCTGATCGAAATTAAGTTGTCAAAAGTAAGCCCTTGTAGCGAACCCTTCATGACCTACCATAATTACAAAATCGAAGCGCACGCCCCAAATCGAAGTGCCCCCCGCTCCGAAATCGAAGTGCCCCCCGCCTCGTTGCTCCCTTTGAGTCTCAATTGATTGGCGGCCTTGTAAGTCCATGTAGACGTTGTTTACATCTCCGTTTAGACGGCAGCCCGAGGGCGCAAAGAGCTGGGATTACGTTGACAAATTAGTTTATCAAACACCCCAAAACATCACACAACAAAGTAGAAAAGGGAATGGGGATTGAAATGGGGATGGGAATGGGGATGAGGATTGAATGGGAGTCAAAGGACTCACACCCAAAGGCAACTTGTTGACACACCCATTAATCGAAATCGGCGCCGCTCTTTGACAGCCTCGAAAGCCCAGATCCTGGCCAACCGCGAGCTGTTCATCCAGAGTGGCAGCGACATCAATCTGACGTGCATCGCGCCCCAGGCTCCAGGACCCTACACGCACATGCTGTGGCACAAGGACACCGAGCTGGTGAGCGACTCCGCCCGCGGGGGCATCCGCGTCGTTTCCGAGCAGCAGATGAAGACCAGCAACCTGGTGATATCGCGGGTCCTGCACACGGACTCCGGAAACTACACCTGCTCCGCGGACAACTCGAGTGAGTCCTTAAGCTGCATTCCAGCATCCTGGCATCCTTTAAGCTAAACACTAAACACCCCCAGACTAAGCAGCACTAAAGCGATTACTTAAGTTGATACGGAAAATTTAATTTAAATGCAATTATCGCTGGACGAAGCTGTCAGCTTTTGCTACACAAATTTAATTTCATTTGATACTTAATTACATTTTAAACATGCCACTAACTGACTCTTGTTAAATATTTATGCATGCACACGGCCATCGAAAATAAGTTGAACACATAAACAACGGAAATTACACACCATACATTGTTAATTAAAATAATTCAATATCCTAACCAACTTTTTAAAAAATAAATAACGCGTTTTAATGTTTTTACCTTAAATGTGGCCACTTAAAATAAACCACAAAGATTATTATATATATGGAACAAAATTAATAAAATATTGAATATTATTAATTTTAATATTTCGATGAAATATTTTAATTGATTGATTGAAACGTTTAATCATAATTCGCTATATAATTTAAAATGGATTAGTTTAAAAGCCAAAAATGTTTTCATTTTGCAATACATTTTAAGCATGAATGTACAAAGAAACAGCAATGACTTACCATTTTAATATAAGAGGGCATGAATAATTGAATATCTTTGAATTAAAATAACCTTATTTCGCCAAGTCCTGATTGTATAATAATTTTTTGCAATGTTCTAACCCCCCTAAAACGCCCTTTTCCGTTTTTTCCACCTTTTCCCAACAGATTCTGACAGCGTCTTTGTGCATATCATTAAGAGTGAGCAGCACGCGGCCATGCAGCACGAACTGGGGTCGAGGCTGGATCTGCCCCCCCTGCCCCTGCTGCTCCTGGCGGTCCTCTTCGTCCTCCTCCTGGCCCACACACCCCGCACACCCCTCCCCCAGAACCTCATCGCCCCGCTTTCCCTTCAGCAGCGCCACTAAACCTCCAGCCGAAGTCGAGCGGCAACTTATGTTCGATGTCTGGAGCAAAAGAGCCTGGGAGTCCTGGGTAAGTCGGTGATTTTTAATGGTACCATCAGTTCAGGAGTCGGTAGTCATCATCTCGTTACAGGCCAGGCCACGCCCCCCGTTACAACCACCCCGCCCATGCTAACGCCCCTGGATAAAATTTCTGGCTGGAGGTTAACGACGTCGATGTCGCGTTGTCTTGTAAATATGTAAATCGAGTTTTTGTTTATGTTTGCGTTTTGCGGCTCAGTCTCTAAGTATTTTTATACGTAATTAAGTAAATGGGTCGAGAGTGCATATGTCTAGCTATACTATATAGCATATGGATCATTTAAGTATATGTGCACACGATCGCATACCTAGAGATACTAAAAAGCGAGCAATCGAAATCGAAATCGAGTCCGAATCGAATCCGTAACGAATGTAAATAAATGTTTAATCTTAATAATAGATAGGCGAGATCTAGATTAATTATGATTAATCGGGTGCAATTTCATTTACCTCCCCTCATGATTGATGGTGATATGAGTGCGATATCGACTGCGACATCCTGCCACCAGGATTATTTCGCTTAATTGCCGCGACGTCTGCGGGGTTTGCAGGCGGTAATTGAATAACGATAAGGTCGTCGCTCGGGTCATCAGTCCCGTGGATTTGGCCTCTGGGTACCGGAGTTCCATTCAAACAGGCGTACATCAAAGGCAAAACACTTTCCGTTTCGAGGAGAGGGGAGAGGGGAGCACCTGGAGCAGGGTAATTGAAATATTTGGAGCGTGCATAATTCACACTCATCGCCGGCAATTACAGCCGAAGTTCTCGGACAAAGTTTTTGGGTTCACAATGAGGGATTGCTTTGGAGTAAGTGGTACCTGAATTGCAGAAGGACTCCGGACTCCGGGACTTCGGGACTCCTCGGTGACAATTGCGGCAGCATCAAAGGCGCCGCAAAGCAGCCAACACAATGAGTAATGGCCGGGTAAGAAGGAATAAGGACTCGTCGTCGCTCTCGTCCTCGTTTGCCTGCTCGCAAAAGGAAGGAACAAGCCGCATAACGCATCTCCTTATTGCCAAGTGTTCGCTGAATTTTGCATAAGGTGGTGGTAATTGAAATAAAAGACGTTCCCAGCCGCTAATGGGTCTGCACGCAAGGACTTCAAGGGACTCCGTCTTTCCCAACCGCAGAGTCCCCTCGAGTCCTGGAAAAACGGGGGAAAAAGGCACTAAAGTAGGCGAGCATCCATCACAATCCAGCGAAAGGAGCGGGTTTAAATGAGGGTGAAGGGGGTGAAAATGGAGGGGGGAAAGTGAAAGGGGGTTGCGTACATGGGAGTAAGCATGTCATGGTACCCGCTTCTTTTCCCCCGGAATTTTCGCAAATCTTTGGGGAATCTTACGCATCTCAAACACGCGCTGGCTGACAGTTACAGTCCCTAAAACCCAACCACCACCCCCAAAAACAACCCCTTCCCCCTTCAACCCCTCCTCCCCCTTTTTGGATTCCGGAACATAACCCCTTGGCAAGGACGCCGCATCTCGGGTTCCACCCAATGAGTTGCAGGAGCCGAGGGTCCGGTTGCTTTGCAAGGGGGAAAGGGAGGTAGATGGGGTAGAAGGGGGAGCCTTGGGCCGGTTGTGGTATTGCTGCCTTCACTTCACCTTCACTCATAAATTGTACAACGAGAAATAAATCAAATCCAGCCTCGACTCCATGCGATAATGCCTCGGTTGCCTTTGCTTGCTGCTTTCACTTGCTGCTCCTTCTGCTTCTGCTGCCTGAGACGCTGTCAGTAACAAATCATGTCCAGGGCTGCAGCCCAGTAGGAGCCGCATCTACATCCACATCCACATCCAGTGGAAAACCAGTAGTTGTATTCCGTATTCCGTAGTCATGGCCCGTAGTCCAATTCGGAGCCGTAGCCTTTGGCGTTGCCTGAACCGGAGCCATTGCCTGTGGACTTGTTTACGGGCTTAATACGCTGCGCCGGACAACAACCATAAAAGACTGGAGAAAGGATGCAGGACGGCCTTGCGACTTAAGGATACCTCCCTTTGGAGTGTACACAATTGATTTGCTAACGCAATACCTTAATTTATTAGTAATAAGAAAACATGTGGAGATTTATAGTGGAAATATCTTTAAAGGCTGTGCTGTTTTCCTGAACATTTCAGTTGGAAATAGTTGTAATGGCAATCTTAACTAGCAGTAAGTAAATTCTTTCAGATTATAAGTTTTAAAAATTCAATTTCATAAAACAAACATATTTATTGTTTACGGTGTTTCTATATATTCTAAAAATAAGAAACCGTTTAAAGCAGTTACAAATACTAAGCGAAAACAAGTTGAAAAGAGCTCTCTGACTTTACAATAACGTAGGACACTTAATGTTCATATAACAAACTTAATAAGTTGTGCTCTTAGTTCAATTGCTTAACTATTGATTTGTTTACTTGTAACAAGCAACCCCAGCAAAAAACCCCAGCAATACTGACACATTTCTTATTATTTTCCTTTTCCTTTACAAATCTGCATATTGAATGTTCATGGAACTTTTCTTATTAGCCAAAGAATTCAGCTGATTACTATCTTTTTTACAACTAATTAGGGTGGAAGTTTTCTTAGATTTTCATAAAGCAAATCCATCGATAAGTTATGATTAAACAAAGTTTCTCAGGTTATAAATAACATGTGTTCTCTGAAAAGAAAGCAGTGTCTCTTTTTTCGAGGTAGCAGGTAGAAAAAGTGCGTATACGTCCTGTTGGCTCCTTGTCTGTGCTGACGTGAGTGTGTGTGTGTGTGTGCGTCATCACCACCAAAGAAGGGCAAAGGGGAAAAGGGGGGCAGGGGGTAAAAGGGGGAAGGTGGGGCAGAATCAACAGCAGCAGCAGATACGGAACCGAAATCAGCGGCGAGCGGAAGTGCGGAAGTGCTGGCTGTGCGAACACGACGACTACAACGACAACAGGCGTTCTACATAGCAGAGGAAGGAGCGAGCGAGACAGCTGCACGGGTGCGACAAGGACAGAGGATGTCGAGAAACTACGGGGCGTAGACGCGCCGGAAAACATTTAATTACTAATGAGTTTTCCATGCTGCAGCTCGTGAGGAAAAACGCTTTAAAAAGACGCGACGAAAATAAAAAGGCGCGGAAATGGGGATTTTTAATTTGCTAATTAGCAAAACAGCAGCAGAGCCCCAAATTTGATTGATTGTCCGGGCGAGGAGATAACAATCAATTATTTAGCCAGCAGTTAGCAATTGATTATCAGGTATTAGAACCTGACAGGTCACATTCTTCAGAACGGAGTGGGCTTTTCCCGTTTCCGAATTCTTGAGCTCTTCATCCAACTGGCAGCAACTGGCATGCATAACTTATGAGCGAGGAGACACTGGGAACTTTGGCCAAAACAATGACATCTTTCGACAGCATTTAAAAAGCCTTAGTCATCGTTAGCTCTGAACTTGCCATCCTCCCGAACGGAATAAACAAGTAGAAAAAGTTTATCTTCGATATTATTATTGGGGCATAACTCTGTCGGTCATAAATCAAATTAGAAGCCCGTTGACACTTGGAAACACATAAGAAATGCAAAAGATTCTATTAAATATACAAGCGATAGATGGGGAGACACGAGAAACTAGAGCAGACTGCTCAGAGTAATTGGATGATCGAATACCCAGCAGAGTGGCAAGTAACCAGAAGGAGTCGCAATCGATATACCCCTTTGAAAAGTTGGTAGAGGGTATACAACGGGGCCTAAGAAAACATTTATCATGCGATTTAAGTTGGCCACGACCTTTGCACAAGAGAGATTTAAGTGATTTGCTGACTGGCTTTAAAATCAAAGTGCGGATAATGAATGGCCCGGTTGGTTCGGTTGGGGCTTTTTGTCCTCGCTCCACTGGCGCTGACTCCACTGGCGCTGGCCCGGCACTATTTGATTTAGCCAGCCCCGAATGTTTGCTTTCGACTCAATTTAAGTTCTGTGGCAGTGCACAAAAGTGCAAAGTGGCAGGCATTTTGCAGCAATTTTCACAGAATGGCATCGAATCACTTCGCCCGGCGGCTGTCATTCCTCGCATGCGACACGCGATTCAACTCGCTAACTGCTTTTCTACTTTACTGCCAGAACGGAGCTCCGCCAGGAGTTCCCCGTTTTCAGAAGGACTCCTGGTGTCGGACCATGTAGTTTAATCTGCAAACAAAATCGTTTGATCCATATCATCAAAGCGGATGGCGGGTCAGATGAGGTGGAAACGGAGTGTGCAACACGGACAAAGCGGCCCAAAACGGAAAGGGAATCGCACGGAGCACTTGCTCCTTACAATCGCCCCCCGGCAGGAGGTTAATTTCCCCAGGAAGCTCCCCGGCTCAATGGCCTAAGGAGCAGGAATAGCGGCGGCTAAGTAAACTCTCACATTAACACACAGAGCCAATCCCGAAACCGTTCCGAAAACCGAAAAACCAGTTAGGTCGCCGTCTATGCGCGGTGCGAAAAAGAAAACAGACCATCAGATACCACTTACTCAGTCGGAGTTCGCATTTTCCATTTCCTCCTATTTTTTTTTTATTTTGAGAAGGGCTAATTACCAACTAGGTGGATGAAGTAAAATGGCAAAGGCAAAAAATGGAAATACAGCATGAAGGAAATACAGCATGTTAGGAAGTAGAAGCCACACGTTAACAGAAATAATTTAAATACAATAAGGAAATGTTTAAAAATTTTCATTTCATGGCCTTTAAAAATATTTCAAATCCATATATGAGATCTCTTTTTTATTGCTTTCCAATTTAAAACAATTTATCGCATTTCTTTATTCATATTTAGTTAATTTTCTATAAATTATTTTGTTTATTTATTAAATGATTAGGTAATTTATTTGATTGCAATAATAGCTTTGTAATAATTAATTTTACCACTGACCTAGTTTGAAAGTACACACGCTCTTGTAAGTTCTGTTTGCCGTGTTCGCGGGCCGTTTAAACCCTAAACTATTACCCCTAAAAAAGCTTTTCAGCACAACCATTAGTAGTCTTATTTACGATGGCGAGTCTACCCCCGAGATCTACGCGTACTGGGTACAAAAGGGCGATTTTCGAGCGGGCCCACCTGCTTGGCAGGCCTCCAGTTGCAGCTTCTGCTCCTTTGCTCCTTGCTCCTTGGCTCCTTTCTCCTTGCGGATGGCAAACCGAACAATGTGAAATTACCGCCCTGAAATACGGCCACCCGCTGAGATTTTATAGCAGTCAACTTTGAATTATTAAATATGTATTTCCAGCCACGCCAAAACCAGAGACTCAATCTCCAGCAGGAACGGAAGTCGAATAAGGAGCCGCAGGAGCAGGAAGAAAACAGCAAAAAAAAAAAAAAAAGGAGCAGCCCAAATGTGCGTTTAGTTCAAGTTTACCGGGATTTTCCGGGATGTTTTAAGGGGAAATTTTCAAATGGGG